TGCACTGGCTACCGGTGGCTTTTCGGGTGCGCTTCAAGGTGTTGATTCTCATCTTTAAAGCGCGCCATGGCATCGGACCTGGTTATCTCCGAGACCGCCTTCTGCCACAGATTACCTCTCATCGGCCGATACGCTCCCACAGAGAGGGTCTCCTCAGGGTGCCGTCAGTCAGACAGTGCCGGCTGGCGACCCCCAGGGGGAGGGCCTTCTCTGTTGGAGCCCCCTCCCTATGGAATGAATTACCCCCAGAGATCCGGGTCATTCCGGATCTCCCCTCCTTCCGCCGCGCCCTCAAGACATGGCTATTCCAGCTAGCGGGACTGGCCTAAGGGATATTTTAATTTGATTTTAATTTGATTTTAATTTGGTTTTTAACATAATTTTAAAAAGAAAAGGCAAAAAATCAATATTTTTGGGGTGGGTTTTATTTTTGGGGAAACACAGTAGATACCAGGCTAATTTAGGTGCTGGCCAAACCTTTACTGTTGTGAAACAAGGGCATGGCAATACTATAATTGCATCTTTTTTTGTTCCCTCATTGTGTCTTCCTCTGTAGTCTGTGCATCTTTGTGATACTGTATCTCAATTATCAGCAAGTCAAAACCTTGATATAGCCAAGTCCTGCCAGGAATGAGAATGTTCTTTTCAAGAGAAGCTAAGCTTGCTTTTTAGTTATGTCAATCTTCTAGGCACCCTAATAATCTGAAACATACAAAGCAACACATCCCAAGGTTTTTTCCAAGAATCAGTGACTCTTCCAAGTCTTGCTTTTTGGGCTGTAGGGGTACTCCCAGACAGTGGCATGGGCTGTCTGGAGCCCCAGGCAGTGGAGGGCAAGTGCCCAGCCCGGCCTTCGAGCTCCCCAAGCATGAGGCCCTACAGCCCAACCCAGACCAGCCCCACTTCCCTGAGGGGGCGCCCACCTATGCTTACCTCCTCCTTCAGGCTGCTGCTGTTGTGCTCACTCTCCTTGGCTGGGTTGCTCATGGTAGGTGCAGGAGGGCAAAGTGCATGGGTCAGAGGGAGGCCCATTCCCTCTCCATGTGAGGAGACCCTGCTTTGTTATATCCTCTGCTCCCTCCCCCCTCCTCCTCCTGTTCTCTTTGGTGCAGATCCATCTGACTCCTCTTCCCAAGGCTGCGTCTTTTTTTCTCTCCATCTCCCGCCAAAATTTCCTCCTTTTATATCCTCTCCTTTCTCCCCCCCTCTTCCTCCTTTTCTATTCCGGGTGTGCCGGAAATGTCAATCAGTATGTAGCCGCGCGCGCCGATCTTGCAGCTTCTGCCGAGCCCTGCAGCTCCAGCCGACTCTCCATCAGGCTTGTGCAGCGCTGCCGCTGCTTCAGCTGGTTCCCCTTCCCCGCTACACTTGTCTAGGATGGTTGCATACCACCTGCCAGGTGCCAAAGTACCTGTTTACCACCAGTTGAAAAGCCCTGCTCTAGACCAGTGATGCGGGGTATGTTATCTATATGCTATTTTGCTAGACAATTTGGAAGCTGTTGAAGTGGTCCTTGTCCACCCATACTGTCTCTGTTCTAAAAGAGGTACAGCAAAAACAGTAAAACATTGATTTTATGGAACTCTTTACTTTTAAATTATTTTATATCTTTTGTGGCTTGTCTTATAGATATGATAGATAAATAGGAACATAAGTAAAATTTGATCAAAAACTTTGGGGAAAAAAATGAAGGTTCACAGACATTCTGTTAGAAAACTGCTAGAGTATATAAGGCCTTTTTATTAAAAAAATTATTAGATGCTTAAAACACTCTATAAGCTATATAGACTGTGCTGTAAAGGTCAATGACCTTATTGTAAAACCCTACCAAAATAGCAACAATATTTAAAAGATAGCAGATTTTTTGGTGCTTTTATTTATATTTGAAATATGTGTTAGGCTTGTACGAAAATACTGAGGATTCTATCTCAATATATCTGCAGCTGTAATATACTCAGTACAGACATTAAATCTGCTTTAAGTTAGAGGCAGTGAGGCTGGGAGAAGTACATTTATTCAAATGGATAATGAGCTGAACATCTTCAGTTTTTATGGATGTCCCAGCTAAAGGGTATCCCCAAATGCTTTAGACAGTGTTCATCAGTGTCTTAAGATCTGGATTATGACTTTCATCTTAAAATTGCAACTCTTGATTTACAAGCTGCCCATGTAATCAGCTACATTAAATTTAGGGGTTCCCTAATTAGCTTTAACTCCATATGGCAAATAAACAAACAGAAAGCTTGGAAGTGCAGCTTTTACTGCTTTATTCAAAGGCTTTACACTATATTTCCTATGGATGAATACCAATGCTTTGTTTGTTCCTCTTGGTAAATTTGCAAGGTGTTTTTTAAAACTGTTGGCACCTAACCTTTTAACAGTTTAATTATTTGATAAATCAGTACTTTGGTATTAATTTGAATAATACAGGACTGATTCAAAGTGTATTTGTCAGCAGGTGGGCTTGTATAAAATAAGCAGTATAAATATTTCAATTTAAAAAACAAAACAAAACAATGGATTGTTAAGGTTCAGATCAAAGAAGAAATCCCTTCATTGCCAGCATGCTTCAATCAACTTTCTCTGCCTGATTACACAGAAACTGCAGCCATACAGTAGATATCCAGATGCTGTGGTTTAACTGCCAATGCATATGACCTATCGGCTCCTAAACTGCACTAGGAAGTCAATTTGCCAACCATACTGAACTTAAGAAAAGCCATGAATGAATATCATAACTTCTTTCAATCTTAAGAGAAAATGTTAGATTTTATATGATAGTGCTACAATCAAACGTCAAGTTAAAAAAACTTAAGAAGTTACACATTTTAAGACTTTCAAACAGAACATTAATTTCATAACTCACAATGATTACTTTCTCTTATTAATAAGGAAAAACACAGCATTTAATTTTTCCCTCTTGCTGATCTCTCTGAGAAAGTACTACCATTCATTGTGATACCACCACTTCCCAACATTTAGTAAGTTTTACCTTTCTTGCATAGGTGGAAGTTGTATCCAGCTATTAAACCTAGGATCATACCGGCTGACGAAGTTTGTACTGTGTTTGCCTGTAAAGAGATTAATTTCACATTTAGCTCTTTGCTTTCTGAAGGACTGACTCAAAGCCTTTTGTTGCTTGCAGACCAAAATGGAAAAGTTTTCTCCTTTCACATACAGATGATTAGATTGACAAAAAAAAACCACCTCTCATTCCAGTATTAAGATGTACAGTAGGACTTGCAATGCTTTGAACCTAATTCAGGAGAAGTCCTTCAGAATATGAGGGGGCACACACATGTAACTTATTGAATCAGCCATGTTTCTTTCTCAGATAGTGTGGGAACATGTTGCACATGACTAATAGGTAGCATTCTTCATAACATCTGAGTAGATGAACTTAAGGGCCAAACATAAGACATAGTTGTGTACTCCCACTTTTCGTTACTGTTCCATGCCCCTGAGTATTTGTCATTTGCCTCATTCTGTTTTAATAGTAAGGTGGCTGCTATTGCTGTATGATTGCAAATCACAGTTTTATAGCATCAATATTTTACTTGTAAACAACAGTTATGGAAGTTTTCATTTAGACCGATAAAAAATTAACAACACTTCCTTGCAAGCTTTATGTAGTCAAATTTATTTAGTCAAATATGAAAAAGCATTAGTTATTACTTCACCCTGTATTTTATAAGGACATATACGCCAATCATAAAAAAAATTATGCTCCAAGATATTAAGCAATACTGAATGCATGTTATATTCTTATTAACATCAAAAGAAAGACTTGAGCAAGGAGAGTGCATTACAAATTGTTTAATACCTGAGTCTTCAATGCAGAAATCCTTTTTAAAAAAATTATTCCTTGCACGCAATTTAAAATTATAGCATAACTACATCACAGTTAAATCATGTATTTCACTATCAAAACCATGATGCTTACGAAGTGCTTTGTTCATGGGAATTAAATCCAAAATTCAGTAGCAATGAAATATAGATTTTGGCATTTAAAACTAATCATGTAAATAATTTGATTTATATTTTCTAATTATGTCATGTGATTCGGATTCTTTCATACTTCTAAGGCGCCCCTTATTTATATGAATTTCTAACTCCTATTAACAGAAGTTACCCAGAAATGCTGTCTGTCATGTCAATCAATATTTCCCAGCATAATTCCATTTTTTCTAGAATATCAATCCTCTTTTTCCTTCATGTATACCTGTCCCCCCAAATCTCCCATTACTATTAATCTTTCATCTTCCACTTATACTTTCTCCATTTTCCCCTTTCCAGCTCTTCTTTGTCTGTCTTCTCATATACAGAAATTAATATAATAAATTTGTTTAGAGAAAACAAAGTATGAGCTAAAGAAGATTTTTGTTCTTTGCTGATAAAGGGCAAGCAAAGCTATAGAGCATGTATATTTATCGTACCCAATATATCACTCCTAAGATGCATCTCTGTCAGGAAGATGCCTCCTTGTTGTTGTTTTTGTTGAAGTAAGGGTTTGTTTACATTTGTTTACAAATTATGAAAATAATCAGGCCTGATGTCCAGGTTTTTAAAATGGAAGCAAAGAAGAAAGGGAAAATTCCTTAGTTCTAGGTTTTTCAATGTTATGCTATCATGTCCCTTCCTGTGGGTCACCAGAATATTCTGTGTAGCTTTCCTGTAGCTTTCATAAAGAAACATGAACATCAAGGTTAAGAACTGGGAGAAACAGTTTTTTGATCTTTCATGACATTAGTTCTGGAGTTTGAGAAGGTCAGTAAAGTATTTCTCCACCATTCTTGTATCTTCTGCTATGTGAGGTGCTGCAAGGCTTGATATTTTCTCCCCTCCTGTTTAACATCTACATGAAACGGCAACATCTACACGAAGCTGCAACATCCACAAGAAGCTACAACAGATTGGGATGATCTGCTGCCGATACCCAGCTTTTTTATGTTCACCCCAGACGATTTGAATGATATAACAGAAGTCTTAGTACTGAAGGCTGTGCGGGTCTGGAAGGGGCACAACAGACTTCAACCGAACTCACATAAGATTGTGTGGCTTTGGGACCTTCTGGTTCTAGGAACCTTCCATTTTTATTTCTGGATGCAGTGACGCTGTCTCAGGCAGAAGCAGTGCATAATTTGGGGTCCTCCCAGATTCATGTCTCCTGCTCAAAGAACCTGTGGCAGTCATGGATAGGAGGACCTTTGTATGTCTTCATGTTACGCATCAATTGTGCCCATTCAGAGATCAGGACGTTATGATCATTCGTGTCCCTTGTGACCTCCCACTTGGATGATGTAATGTGATGTGCATGGGGCTGTTCTTAAAGAGTATTCATAAACTTCAGTTGATGCAAAACACAGCAGCACAGGTAATTAATGGTACTAGCTATTTGGAGCATGTAACACCACTATAAGTTTGCTTCCAGCTGCAATTCAACATTCTGGTAATTACCTTTAAAAACCCTACATGGCTTGGGCAGTTACTTACGGGACTTTTCATGCTGACTGTTTCTACCCATCCCATCAAATCTAGCAAGTGAGGCATGTGATATGTTCCATCAACCAAGGAGTGTTAGCTGAGCCCCCTGGGGAAAAAAGGCTTTTCTGCTGTGTCACCCACCCTCTGGAACCTCATCTCTCCTGAAAATAGGTTGGCCCCCAATCTGTTGGCCTTTTGGAAGGCTTTGGAAGTTTGATTTTGCGGCTAAGCCTGGGGGCCTGTATGTGAGATGGAGCACATTTCTTGGTCATGATTCTATGATTCTTTATTTATTTATTCATTTATTATATACCGCCCTATCTCCCTTGCGGGACTCAGGGCGGTGAACAGGCGATACTAAAAACCATGAATAAATAAATAGTTTCTGTTTTAAAATCGAATTAAATGATAGGCCTGTTCTAAAAACACACCCATACAAAACCCCCCACTTTGAGTATTGTGCATTTTATTTCTTGATGTGAGTTTAATATTTGTATATATTTTAGTTCTAATGTTATGAGACCCCTATAGGTATGTACTTGAGATGAATGGCTACATAAATAAATAAGTAAACTAGCCAAAAACAAAACCAACAATTTCAATTTGAATGAAATAGCTGGGAAATTATCCTTCTCACTTTTGTGTAGCCGTTGGGGAGACCTACCGTCCAACTAGTCTAATGCAGATGTTTGCCTACCTTTTTGGTCAAAGAAATACAGTAATCAACCTTCAGATCAGTTCTACAGCATATACTTCTATAAATAAACTATCTGTAATCTTTTTATAAATAGCTTTTTAAGAACAGACTGCAAACGTTATTTTTCCAGAAAAATGACTTAAATAAATAATTTTTAAAACTCTATTGAAATAATGCTATTAGAGAAGATTGCTTAGTTTTGTTTGTAAGGAAATGAACAGATGTAATGCTTTGATACAGTTTGGTTTAGCACAGATGTTACAATGGGCTTTTCAAATAAAATATATGCAGTATACGTAATTTCAGCTGGATCTTCTGGCATTTTGAAGTGAAAATGTGTACCTGCAAGCTGTTTTATACTTTCTAAGTCATAATTATCTATGTTATACAGACTGCTACAGCTGCAACTCTGCCTTTATGTACGAGCCTTTCAATGATGTCTTGACAATATTCTAAATTTTGCAAGGCATATTGTTCTTTTGCTTTGTTCAGAAGCTTGTTAAATGATTTCATTTCTCTCTACAGAAAATTTATAAAGTGATCTCGTTAAAAAGCCCTTACCATAATCGTTATGTAAATCGCTAAAACTAGAGATACAGGAGTACCAGAAAAATCTGAAGACATTTAAGAATGTGAATATATAACCATTTACACGGATCATATTAGATTGGCACTAGGAAAAAAAAGTAAATACTAGAAACATATGAAATATAATGGTACATAAAAAGGTTGATATAACTTTAAACAGTTCTCACCAAATGTCTTAATTAAAAACAACTATTCAAACATTTTAGAGATTATAAATGAATACTTGAAATACTGAAATTCCAAATCAGAGGGCAACTCATGAAATTAATTTTCACTTTCTATTCTCCCATCATAATGTAGAAGTGTTCTGCTAAAGAGAAAGGGCTTGACTGTTGAATTAAAAAATGATTTGGAGTAAGATTTCTTTTGAAATACAGAAGCTTCTTGCCTAAATCTTTTTTTTGTTAGACATATATGTTTATGTGGCATTTTCCATAGCTATATTAATGAATCACTTTTGAGCTTCATATTAGCATATATATTCAATTTTAAATGTGCAGAATTTATGCTTATGTTTCTGCAGTAACTGCAACTGGATCTATAAAAATGCATGTGTTGTGGACCATTACTTTATGCATGCATAAATTTTGAAAAATACACCTTAAATGTTTTAATAGGCCTCAAAAACGTAGCTAAATTCTAGTTTATTCTTATAAAAGTTACTGTGTAATTGTTGGACAATCAATTATTCAAAGTTGAGACTTTATTGCCACAAACAAATTTTAGATCACAGCCTAAATCATTGGTATATAATCTGAAGCCCAAGAGAGTTGCTCAAGGTTGCTTGTAGATTCCTAATCTTTCCTTCAGTGTTTTTCTGATTTTTTTTTTTAGCAAGCAAGCTAACATTAAACTATTTGCTGTTCTGATCAGATCAGATCAGATGAGATTAGAGTGTAAGATGGGGCAACTCTACTTATAAAAAAGAAAGGACATTACCATACTGCTATTTCATGTATAAGTAGCAGTTCATGGATTTCCTACCCATTAAGTATTTGTGTGGTGGTGGTTATTTATTTTTTTCTTCAAAGTTCAATTAATTATGGCATACATACCATTAGGATTCCACTGATCTTCTCCTCCCAGAACGAACAAAAAATTTTCTACTTCCACAACACAGTGATGGGCACTATTATATGGCATAACTGTGAATAAAGCAGATATATTTTATTAAGGCGCATTTCAACAGTAGGTTTAATAGTGTAGTTATTCTGAGGATTTCAGGGAAGTTCAAATTTATCGGGGCTCAGAGGTTTTGTCTTCCGAGCTTCCGGACTCGTGCTGGAGCCCATCTTCAGGGAACTTCTCTCTAGATTTTGTCTTCTGAGCTTTCGGATTCGTGCTGGAGCCCATTTTCAGGGAACTTCTCTCTAGCAGAGTGTGTGCTGTTAGAAAGACGTTCCCTGAGGATGGGGACTCCAGCACGAGTCCCAAAGCTCGGAAGACAAAATCCTCTGGTCCCGGTGACTGACCCAGATTGGATCCTGCAACATTATCCTGAGACACAGATATTTGCCTTCATTCGTTCAAATTTAGACTTTAATGTTTCAGTCCCAGTTAATGCGCTCAGTGATCTAACACCTGCTGTGAATCAATCCTTATATCCTTTTTAGATGGTCAGATGTGCATTGTCACATCTGTTTGCTGTTCTGATAGGAACATTTTGTTCTGCATCTGCAACTGAAAGAAACTTCTTTAGCAATACAGAGCCTTGGAAACTCCAGTATAATTGATATCTCGAAACAAAATTGCTCAGACAAGTTTGTAACAGTTTCTGACATTCTGCGATTTGAATGAGCTGTCACAGTAGCTTCCCAAAAGACGCAGAAGGTGTCAATAGCACGCACAGCCAGTCTCAATAGCATTATCAACCAGATTTTGGATTGAGGCAGTCTTAGCATCCACTCTGGATGAAGTTTAGCTTGCTAACAACAAATTACAATAATTACTGTATATAAACTGTACTCTACAAAATAGAAATATTTCATAAAATGCAATAATTAGGACAGTGCTCTGTAATCACATGATAAATACTTTTTTTCTTTAAAAAGTAGATTTACAGAATGTTAAAAAAAAACAGATTCAGTATGTAGGCAACATTTCCACATCAAAACTTCAAACTATTCAGTAGCTTTCTCTCACACAGCAATAAGCATGCTGCATTTCCATATAGTTTTAAGTTTTTAAATTAAGGTCCTGCTGATTTAATGCCTCCTCCAAATGTATATGCTCAATTTCCTGTACAATGTCATTAGCAGCACAATCAAACATTTTCCATCCACTGAATCACGAATCCCTTTGTTGAAAGAACAACATTCCTTTAAAAACTATTGTAAGGAAGTTATAACTATGAAGGGGAGAAAAATGGGACAGTTCTTTCTCTGATATGTTTTCCCCAAGGTTACAGAGGTACTAGAAAAAAATGCAGCATTAATGCCATAAAATGAATTGCTTTGTGGTATGTGACAGTATTAAACATCATATGTTGAAATGCATACTCACACAGCTAAATTGTACCACATGCAGCAGTTCTGGCTGGGTGTCACCAGTAGGAAAAATAATGTCCTTGTTCTGCTCATCATATGGGCACCTTAAATCTAGGTGAGGACAAATGGGGAGGTGATGTGCATGTATAGGCAGGGAACTTATTGCTTGACACGGATCAATAGAGCACTTAGGAAACCAGTGCAGTGGGAAATCAATATGACTCAGGGCCAGCTCTTACTTTGTGCTGTTTTGCCAGTGCCAAAAAAAAGAGGCAGCCTATCTCACACTTGAATTATTTTGGGTGATATATCTCTCATTTCATTTGTTTTATTATCTTTTATTTTTCTAAATGCACATGAACATAGCATATGCAAATAACAATAAGAAATATGTGCAGCTTCCTTGTGTAGGACACATTTTCTTAAAGATCAAGTAGTCCCATTTAAGCTTCTTACTGATTTTTTTTTTTTTTGCTAAAGCAATGATGAATAAGCAAGGTGCATATTTAGTTTCCAGTAAAGGTCAAATATCATTTTCATAGTCTGTGCTCATGCAGCTGTCTAAGCAAAAGCAACTGATAGGCAGATAAGTTAAGTAAAAATGCATGAATTAACATTATATATTGGTGATATATCTTACAAGCAACAAATACTGTTAATATGCTATTTTATTTTAATTTGTGACAAATGACAAGTCAATTCTATCTCCTTAGGAATTGATTTTTTTTGTAATATTTATTCAGATGAAACTCATTGAACTCCAGTCATAGTTTTGGTTGATGTTATACTGCAGTGCCCTTCAACAGCATATCCATGAGCCTGATCAAAATGATATGATGCTATATTGAAAAACCAGGCATCTGAAATGGTTGGCCCTATGAGCGTTACATTTCAAACAATGCCAATTATCTGTTAATGCAGTCGGCTATACTACCCTTAAATTTGGTGTTCTTAGGTAGGAGACAGACTACATGTGCATCTAATTATAGTACATCACACTGTGTAATATTTCATGCTATTGATCATGTCTGTTGATATACAGTGAAATGCAAACGTCAGGCAAACAACTTATCAGAGCGGAGACTGAAAAGCCTACAAGATTCTCAGTAATATGATTTTGTATCTTTCTAAACTCCAAAGTAATAAGCAAAGAAAGGAAAGTCCAAGAATGTCAACTAAGAAAAAGAAGTCTGAAAATGTAATTTATGAAGATCATAGTGCAACTCTCTACATTTCAGTTCAAATACAGGTAGCACACTGAACAGAATTGCAATATTTAAGCAAAACAATGGAAAAGAGGATGAAGGTCTGTATGATTAGGTGTAAGATATGTGAATGTACATGCCTAAAATAGCCATTTGAACTATGCAACACATATGGCTGAATTCTAGAGGATGTAACTTTTTTTTTTTTGCACTGCTGAGACATTCTTCTTGTCCCACAATACCTTTCAAGTAATCTTACAACAATTCACTAAGAATTCATGAGTGTAAATAATGCAATGTACAGGCCAGCCTGTAGTCTAGTGATGCAAACCGTCTCTTTCATTAATTGTATACTGTCTTCTGCTTTGCTGATTTATTTTAATATGAGTCTCAGGCTCACTGATCTTTGCATTTCATTTCAGCTCAGGTGAGTACCTATTTTCCCCTCCAAAAAGGGATTTGAAAAGAAGTTTGTACGCCACGCTCAAACACAGCCCAGTGTGAGTTTTTAGCGTGTCAGTCAGTGAGTTAGAGGGAAAGGGTAAAGAGAAGCTAATCAGGATGAAATGAGATTAAAGGCTGTCTAATTTTACAGCAACTGTGATCCATCAGCCACTGTGAAAGTGACAGTGGAAATGAATGATGGAGACAGACAGGTGGGGCTGTACATTTCACTGATTTATCCTCAAATGCACTGGGCCTTATTTTATTGAGTGAACATGACCGCATTTATCATGACTGTCATCTAAACCCACTTCTCTCCATTTAAAAAGGTCACTTTACTAGAAGGAAGTAGGATAGAGCCACTTTCAAAAGTAATTCAAAAATCTAAGAATATGAATTTATAAAGCTTTGCAAAGGAGCTCTCAGCTTTATTAAACAAAGAGTGAAGTGAAAAAATAAAAACCAATAAATAAAAGGAAAATTTTGACACCTGAAAAACACATTTTTTAAAAAAAATCTTTGTTTTTCAATCCCAAGGTTCCAAAATAAAGGTGCAGTATAGGGCTAAATAATACTCATTTAGAATTATATAACGTATCTTATTCTGTGGGATGAGGAGCTTCTTCCAAGTGAAGACAAACTTGATTTCTTCCAATAATTGTTTGAGACAACATTCTATTCCTTCTACTATGTATACTGATTAGACTGTAGGAGTATGTTTCTGTCTATCGACTTTAATCAATTTGTGAAAAAATCAGGAGAAAGCAAAAGGGGAAAATATTTGCCTATTGCATCATATCTGTTGAACATACTGCTGCTTCCTACCTTATATTCATTGTAGGTGCATTCCAACCAATTAAAAAAGGCAATACAGCTTGAAATAATACATGCTGTCACATTATGAAATATGAAGTACACAACTAAACCCTAAATTTACAAAAGAACTGGAGAAAAATTAGCATTAATGTAGTTGCTAGCTAATTTAAGGATACCCATCATTTTTTTAATATGTGAGATTTTTGTAGGAAGTATACCTAAAGTGGGAAATATACCTAAAGTGGGAAACCTTTTTATTTTTGGAAGATGTGGGATTGGTACTTTAAAGGCAAAATACGTATACACTGGTTCTATCTCCAAGTCATGGCTTGCTTTTGTGAAGTTTAGCATGACATGATACTGTATTTTTGCCTATCTTGAAGAAAACCAAAGTTGGGGTTTAAAAAAATATATTAATGGCTTGGTTCTTTGGCTTTTCACAGATGAAGAAAGATAAAGTCCCTTGTTCATACCTTATGATAGGTTTGACAAACCATATCACAAATCCTCATTGGCCATTCTAACATTACAGCTTACTGTGACATGTGAACTGGATGTATTGATGAAAAAGGATTTTTAAAAAAGCCCTTCTCTACTCAGTGAGGGACACTGTTTCTACAAGGAATGATTTTCCTTATCATCCTTCCCTTGTAAGATCTCCCTTTGTCTGCCCTTGAAACAGGAAATTTAAAAAAAAATGGAGGAAAAAATTGGGTTTACTCATCAAAATGGGGAGAGATGATTGCTGAGTGAATAGATATACTAGCAACTTCCTCAGCATATATTATCAACTTAATACTGGCACCAATGGTTTCTGCCTTGATCCTCCCTATTCTCCCATTACTTTGTACTTTTCATATGGTAAAATAATGAACAGTAAGTTTAACCAAGGTGAAAGGACTACAGATTTTTGGATGTTGTTCTAGAGTTTTTTGTGACTTATGGATTATTGCATGTTGTTCTACTGGAATGAGTTTGACTTAACAGTGACTCTTGGAAAAATTCTGTGTTCTCAAAACTTCTCCATTTCAAGACTGTTTCTCTGATTGTAGACTAGTGGTACTCCATAGTTTAAATATGAGTAGCTTTTCCAGATTGATAGGTATCAATGACTTTTTAATAGCAGGACATAATATGTCTGAATTGTGAGAATGTCATGTAATGAAGAAGCCAAAGCTAGGGTAGGGTTGATTG